AATTAAAGTGATTTTAAGAAAATAAAAAAAAATTAATCAACTTAAAACTGAAAATTCGCTCTAAAATATTAAGATTCGTTCTCCGGCCAGAAACGGAGACATGCGATCGAAATAAACTCTAAGCCAGCGGTTCCCAAACTTTAAAGTTTGTTGGACCACGGGACAAGCTGCGAAAATGCAAAAGGGACCAGTGCCAGATTTATTGATTATATATTTTATTTTATTAACATCATAAATATTCATGTTGTGCGGACCATTAACGTAAGGCCCGCGAACTTTTACAGGTCCGCGGACCACAATTTTGGGAACGCTGATGCCAGACATTTTCAGACTCGCGTTGGGGAGGGGGGACGGGGGGTTTGAAAAAAGCGAAACATTGTTCGATATTTGTTACAAAATGCCTTTTTAAAAAAAATGTCTTTAATTTCATTCTGAGATGAAGTTTTAGTTAAAACTTACAATGTGGCTGATCTTAAAATATTTATAGAACCCTCCGCTAAATGGCTCGTCTTACCGCCCTCCCTCCCCCCACCCCCTTTTTTGCACACGTGATTCATCCAATAAGGAAAGTGATAACTGGATGAGACAACACAGAAACCCACGACATGTTGAAAGTACAATGGACGATAACGTGTCATCTTAAAAACTAATGTTAAACAAGATTACCAGTCATGTTACAGTTAACATTATTTACTAGATACGCCTCAGTGGGTCTTTCTTTGGTTGGTTATTGACTAGATACGCCTCAGTGGGTCTTTCTTTGGTTGGTTGTTGACTAGATAAGCCTTGTGGGTCTTTCTTTGGTTGGTTATTGACTAGATACGCCTCAGTGGGTCTTTCTTGGGTTGGTTATTGACTATAAAAGTTGCAGGAAATAACACGTTTATCTTTCAAATAAAATATTGATGGCTACAACATGATGGTGTGTCCTGTATGTGGAGGGGAACGTTGGTGTGTCCTGTATGTGGAGGAGAAAGGTGGTGTGTCCTGTATGTGGAGGGGAAAGGTGGTGTGTCCTGTATGTGGAGGGGAAGGGTGGTGTGTCCTGTATGTGGAGGGAAGGGTGGTGTGTCCTGTATGTGGAGGAAAGGATGGCGTGTCCTGTATGTGGAGGGGAAGGGTGAATCATCCTGTATGTGGAGGGGGACGATAGTGTCCTGTATGTGGGGGCGGTAGTGTGTCCTGCATGTGGAGGGGGCGATGGTGTGTCCTGTATGTGGAGAGGGATGACAGTGTGTCATGTATGAGGAGGGGAAGGGTGGGTTTTCCTTTAAAGGGTGTGGTGTCCTGTAAACATCTTGAGACTACAACCGACCTTTGTCACTCGACTTTATGATTTCGTGACTTTAAAGACTTGTCAGTTCGAAACCAATATTTAACGTATTCAACGAATCTCACTCGGCTGTGCCATGAAAGTCTGCAGACAATGCTTCCTTTCTATCGATCCTTTAATCTCTCCAATCGCCCTTCTATAACAGTCCTGATCCGTTTAATTATATTAAATGAGTTGTATGGCTTGAAGTAAGAGGACAACGCTTCAATTCAAAGATCAAGTTTCAACACTTGTTTCAATGGTTCTAAACTACTGGTCTCTTGGTACTCTTGGTAAAGATTATCACCAGCATTACATACAAGAGACCTATAATGTTTACTTTGACTTATTGATAACTGCACGCTATACAAGCTTAAAAATTGACAATGATTACAACTAGAAATGTAGCTTAGTGATATTCATTGTTTCAGACGCTCCAACTTGGAGCGATAGATCTTGTAAAAACTGTAAACAGATGTCCCGCTTATTGATGAATATAAAAGAGAATCTGTGATCACGGTAAGCTATATCCCCACTCTATTACAGTAAGCTGCCCCCACCCTATCACGGTATGCTGCCCCCACCCTATTACAGTAAGCTCCACCCCAACCGATCTCGGCTGCACACCACACTATCACAGTAAGCTGCATCCCCTATCACGGTAAGCAACACCCTACCCTATCTCGGCTGCACACCACCCTTTCACGATATGCTGCACCCCACCTTATCTTTTCTTACCTGAAAATGTCTTAAAATTAAAATGAAATAAAAACAATGAAGAAGATTGTAGGATTTTGATAGTTAAGTAGTCTTAACAAGACATGCGTCACCAAGACAAGCCTGGACAAGATATAATGACACCCAGACCAGCCAGGACAAGATCAAGTCACCAATACAAGACACGAAATCACATATAGACAAGCCAGGACAAGATTACGCAACCAAGACAAGACGCGATGTCATCAAAGCAAGACCTTTAAAGATCAAGACAAAACATAATGAGAAGACCGGAAGGCTCCAAGGGAAGACTCGAAGGCACCAAGACCAGACAGTAATGCGCGAAATCAAGACACGAAGTAAGTAAGACAAATCACACAGCGAAGACACGTTTTGAAAAAAAAAATAATAATTCATCGCAAAATTATATTTTTAAAGGAGTTTACGGAATAAAGTGTGATCTTTCTGTTGTATGCTGGAATAAATTGTCATCTTTCTGTGAGATGTTAATACTGCCATATTCTTATGAAGTTTCCCACTAACAATCACAACTGTTGTGCCATGTGTAGGATTACGTCAGGGTCATATTTGTCCTTCATAATGTTTAGGTTACTGTTACATTCGTCCTTCATATGGTTAGAGTTAGACTTGTCCTTCTTGGGGGTTAGGGTTGTCACAAACAATAATTCTCTAGTCCTGCATGTATGGCAGTAACGCTGTGTTTTTTGAGCACGCCAAATTAACGTTTCAGAATTAAGCTCCAATTACGATTCTTTTAATGCCCGTTATTTGAATGCATGGTTTGTCAGTTGACCTTGGTAGGCGGAAAGTTCACGCACTGCCGACGAAAGAATTGCCCAGAGTTCAGCCCTAGCTGTCACACAATCTGAATAATCCCTCTTGAAGTCAACACTATTACTAAGGCAGTAAAGTCAGCACTGTCACTGAGGCAGTGAAGTCAGCACTGTCACAGAGGCAGTGAAGTCAGCACTGTCACTGAAGTAGTAAGGTTCCATGGTATAAGACGGTTGATATTTGCGCTTAATTAAGAAATACTGTAGATCACTTGTGTTTAGATATATTTGTTAGAATGTTCTAGATTTGCAATAAAAATGTTTTTCTTGGTAAGAATATTGATCTATGTGCAAGAATTGAATATACATCTTGTCATTTATTGTTTAAATCCATTTATTTGGATTAATAAGAGAATGGCATATTTTCTTATCTCTTCTTCATGATTATGAGAAAATGATTAGTTTACTTCGTTTTAAAATTAACTAATCATGAAAAGCTGTTTTCTGAAGTTGTCTAGATTGATACAGTCCAATAAAAATACGAAGCCGTTAGACACCGTAGGCATTGGTGCGATTTGAAAAATGCCAACACAGATTTTGTTAAGTTAACCCGAGAACATAGTCCATCAATGAACTTGTTATTTCTAACTTTATTCAGAGTTTTGTATATAAGCTCTGATTTTAAGGAACAATTTCTACATAATAAGTTTAAAAAAATATTGGGTGTTTGCTACTGTCGGCCAGCTGGGTTAATGCGGCTGCTCGGCCATCTGTGAAGTTGTCACTGCCAGCCAGCTTGGGGGGGGGGGGGTTG